TCTCCCGGTCCCGTACTGTAATTTCCAGTTTTATTTACTACTAAAACCTTGGCACTATAGTCGGTACCGCAATCCTCCCATCCCATGTTTTTTAGGAAACTAATAACTGCAAATAATCCCCGGCGTTCGAAACATTGTACCCAACTTTTTACATCGTAATCCCTAAACTGAGCCCCCACCGAGGCGGAAAACACACAAAAAGATCCCTGCCTACAAATTTGCTTAGGCACCCCGAACAGTAATCCGGAAATCAACGATTTTCCTTCATATTTCAAACCCAAGGAACTGTTCGCAGACCGCGACCGCCAACCTCTAGACCATAGATCCCCGGCGTTCCGGCACTACTTTACAATTCATCGCAACCAAAAAAGCGATGACCGAGAGGCTGGAAAGATAATAACGTTGAAAGGATTTCAACACTCTTTCGAGGGCACTTGAACCCGTGTGTCCCGGTTGCGAGGAAGGAGAAGAGGAAGAACGACCGGTTGGTCTGCAGGCTGGCCAATTGAAAGGTGAACAAGGAGAGTCTTGTCTAAGCACCCGGAAAAGCTGATGAATATTTCCATGGTGAAGCTGCGGACGGTACGGGGGTGAGGGCATTTGTTTTTAGAAAGTGCTAGAATAAGAAATTGACGGGGAGGGGAGGGCTTGAATCGGGTGGGTTCAGGAATAGGATAGGGTTGTTGAGAGGACTAAAAAGGGTAATGAGGATTTAAATTTTAAGGTGTAGGCATCGAGCTAAAAGCCTAAACACGTAAATATTGTTTAAAAAATCTGTCAAAATCCAGTTTGCATTTAAAGCAACGTGCAAAAATAAAAACAGGCTCAAACAGGAGAATTATGCAGAAGCCCAAAAAAAATTAGAAAAAGCTCGGGCTCAAATTCAAGCTGTCAAGCTCAATATTTTCGGGGATTCCCCAAGTACCCCTTATCAAACCCCGCGCGGAGCAAACAACAACAATAGCGAGGTCATTTCCAGCCTCGCACTGGGGCGCCTTCCTTCCCTTCCATCCTCAGCCCATCCCCCCGCATACACTTTAGTCCTGCGGGCGTGTCGTTCGGTTCTCTGATTTAGCGGAGGACACGATCGCTTCCTTTTCACTACCCATCAGAAACGGGTGGAAGTGGAGGGGGAGCGCGAGGGCCGGTTTTACGCACCTGACACCAGACATCGACTACGAGATGGCTGGCAACCCCAGTGTGGAAAGTCTACTGGCTGCGGGATATGACCGTAATCCTGGGTAGGTAAACCTGGGCCTGCAAAATCAATAACGTAGCTGGTTACAAATGAGTAGACAAACGAAAAAAAAAGCTATACAGTTTTCCGTTCCAGCCAGAGAGCCGATCTATTTCTCGACCTCCAAACTCCTTCCGGTCCCACCGTTCGTCAAATGTATCGAAATGTAAACTTTTGAAAGCAATGTGTCCCGTCCCCTAACGCCGAGGCAAAATATTCAAACACCCCTTCATCCCTCCCCCCATTTTGACCAAAAATAGGATTGACCGTGGGTGTATGGACGGGACCAAAAGATGCCCAAAACACACCCGTTGCAGCCCTAAAGGCCCTAAAGGCCCTGAGGGAGGCGATGGGGAGTGCTCCAAAAAGCACGTAGGAGCTGCCCTTGGGCAATTGGAGAATGCGCCTTTGGAACAATAAGAGAGAAAGAGAGAGAGAGAGAGAGAACCGAAAGACGGAAACGCCTCAGAGGTAAAACCCGGTTTTTTGGTTGATGGGTGTCAGCCATGCGGGGAGAAACGTTTCAGAAGTCTGCTCTTGAGCCGAAAACGAATTGAACGTCAGAGCAATGAGAGGGAGATCATGGTTTATTTTTGACGGAAGGGGGTAGCGGGGGCAGAGACAAAGCAATTTGGCAACGTTGCAAATGTTTGAAAACATCAAAGAAACTGATACAAATAGTTACGAAATTAGAGTCATTGAAAATATAATATCTTACCTTATAGCATAGCTTAATATGATGACAGACGATAAACTTAGAAAAATGCTAAAAGCTAACCTTCGAGGGCTAGAAAGAATTCTAGAATTCTCCTACTAACAGCCTCACCAAAAGCAAGCCAACTTTTTCTCGAAACCCCCAGCCTCGCCTCTAATGACGAACTAGGCAGTAGGCCAAAGTAGCGCGGGATAAACTGGGAGCAACTTTTTGGGCGGAGGGATTGGCTTAATCGGCGCTAGGGCCCAACGCGGGGCCTACGTGCCAAAGGGCAACTCCCGGGGGCCTGAAACGGGCTGGACACTGACCGACAAGGCCCTCCCCCCTCGTCCTCCTTCTCCTTCTCCACCTCTTCTCCTCCGCCCCGAATTTGTTTGGCATCTTCTGGGTGGGATAAGGGCGTCTTAGGGCTTTTAGCACGAACGAATGCAACGTGCTAGAATGTTTTTGGAGCTGAAAATGGAAGTTTTTGGATGAAGTCGCAAAAAATCAACGCGCGTGGAAAACACTGAGAAACTATGTTTTTAGAACCTGAAAACGTTGTGCGTTGGGGTCACTAGCGCCTTAATAAAACCAGGGTCTCTTGATTCAAATTGCGGACCGCAAAACCCGGATAATAAAATACTCTTAAGAACACGCCGATTCGGGTGTCAAAGCAGCACGACTTACCTATTTGCAAGAACATAATTTATTCTCAGGTCGTGGAAGCGGTGAAAGTATTTAAAAGTTATGCCAATGAGGCAGATTTTTTTGTTTTTAGTGTGGGGGGATGCTCTGCTAGAATAGATCACGGCCACCGCCGAAACAAACGCTGCTTTCAGGATAAATGACTGATGCTCTGGCTGATGATGCTGTCCAATTAAGCGACCACCTCAGCTGAAAAAGTTAAAACGGAATGGAAGGTAACCTAAGCATCTGTCTAAACAGGTGTAGACGTATTAATGCCCGAACGCACGTTTGAATATTACTAGCTGGCTTCAAGTTTTTTCGTGTTCTACTCACTTTCCCAATCCCCCCGGTTACAGCACCGCCTTAATTAACTGGAACACCGGCATTTCGTGAGTCTCCTCCTGCGCACCCCTGGGGCTGACCGTGAACGCCTGATGGTGAACGGACCGCTTTGTCGAACAACCTCCCCCTTCCCCTCCTTCACCCCTTCTTCATCTGCTCTTTCTACTCACGATCTATCCTCCAAAAGACGGCACAAAATTGCCCTCATTGTTCTCCCGGCCTCAGGCTTTCCAATGCGCTCACTGCCCCCTGAGGGCAGAACGTGCAGGTCGGCAAATCGGGTGCGGGCACGTATTCGTCGACCCCTGGCTCTCCCTTACTTGGTGAGCACAACCCTGGTGTCTTTTCATGAATATTCGTGCTGCGAAACACGAGAGCCGATTGGGGAGGTCTCTCGCTCTCTCGGGAGGATGATGGGGCTTTTCCCTTTTGGCTAACTTCCGCAGGGAGGGGGGGCTGGGGGGTTTGGGCCACGCAACGATGTTGGTTTCGGCTAGTTCGGGCTTAGCGTGATAAGAGAAAAATTGGTGATGGTGATCTTTAAGAATGAAAAAATTTTGGCCAATATGGTGATATTTTTATTCAAGTAAGCTTCAGGTTCACATTCAGATCCCCAAATTCTGTCATGCCAAGCGCGTGTAATTTAATGATCATTTAACAAAACATGTGTAATCCCCCCTATACCTTTGCGCCCGAAAGCAGTTTTGGTGTATTTTGCATACAAAAATTTATATATTTAAATAATCACCACGATTTCAATAAAATTAGGGTGATCATTCATTCAGGGTTTTTCATTCTTCATAACCGACAATAAACAAAAAAATAAAAATCTCACGTTCTAACCTTAATAGGCGATTTAAAATTATCGTATCGGTTTCGAGTTTCACAAATCTGCACAACGGATTATTGCCTTTCAAGCAGCAGTTCAAATTCCCCCAAACAAGCAACTTCCATAAAAGGGATGGATAATCCAGCATAAAAACTGGTCTATGCCTCGTGGGGGGCTTACTCACAACTCAATGTAATCAAAAATCGCAAGGAAGAATGTTCCTGAATTGCACCTCCCGGGTAGACAAAAAGCACTTGCAAATTGATTCCGTGGAAATTTTGCGAAGTTTAGTTGAGGGAGTCACACGATTCGAACGACACGTTCGTAGTTCGGCAGTGTAACGAATGATGGATTATTGGATGGGGGTTGGGTTAAAATTTTTGGTAGCGACACGAACTCTATGAGTCCGGCAACATAGACGCCCGTAAAATTGAGGGTAGGTTAACGAAACGCAATTCCGTGGTGAGCCCTTAAATTTATAGCCGGTTCGGCTATAAATTCTACAATAAAATTTCGATGGTGGCTGATGCGTCTGGGTCTGTTTTGATCGGGTTGACCTGTAGTATGGTCATTGAAAAACGGGAGGGTTTTTGGTTGAATACAAATTGTGAAAGATGTCCTGGAGGGGAAGAAGTGTGGTTCGGTTTTAATGAAGAGGGTAAAGAGCTCTTGGATGGAAATGGGATGGTTGTGAGTCATTACAATGAAGTGTAAAAAGGCTTTGGTCGGGAAGGACCTTGAAAAAATGTTCGTGGCGTTAGGGTTAGCCCTGGGGCGGACGTGCTGGCCGAGCGTTTTAAGATGAGTTCCAGCAGAGTAAAAAGTTGCGTGAAAATGTTAATGGGTTTGTAAACAATCAGAAAATCGTTGAGCATGAGAATTTTCTTGCATCTTTTCATAAAGTCATATACAAAAGTTCATATAATTGTTCTTAAAACTTCGCGAATCCATTTCAAATTTAAGAGTCGAATTTGCATCAACAACAATATAATACCGCAAAATAAGACCTCAATAACTTATGTTATATGCATACCCTAACAAACATTAATCTCTTCCCTCCAAAAGAAAATCACTACTCCCCGTTGCTTCCCTATATCAACTATCACCACCAGAAAAGCCCATAAAATCTTTTATTACGCCATATACAAACAGTTTCTTGGCAAGAGAAAAGGAGAATATCAATCTATCGATTGCGGGGGCAGTATTTAGGCAACGGCGACTTCTTCGGCGGCCTGAAAAAATGGAGTTAGCCAATGTTGAATCTCCTAGCTGATGGAATTTCCGGTGTGTCTCTCTCACAGATCGCGATTTTCTAATAATGTTTATGCAGCAGTGCTAGGTGGAAAGCTCCCGGTGCTAATGGGCCAAACATCAGATTTGGGGACGATTTGGTTCTTCAAATAAAGCGGAAATAGCGACTGTATGTTTTGGGCCGGCAATTAGAACATTGGTTCGCAAGGAGTGGATCGAAATTTGTTGATTTTCTAACTACTGTAACCAGGATTGCTCTTCTGCTCGCTAAACTTCATACGCTGCAGCTATAGTTTGCTGGGAAGACCTCATACTACCCTATCATTAATGTTGCGTCTCGAAAAAATGAATAGCGGCACACGGGAGAATTTTGCAAATTTTTTTTCAGAATTCCCCTCACTAAGCCAGAAAGCTTGAAAAACTCACATTCTCTGAATCAGGGAGCGGATCAGCCGGGGCTACGGGCACCTCGTCCTCCTCGTCCTTCTCCGGGAGTTGAAGGGGCACTGGCTCCACAGGCGGGCGGGCCAGATCTCCTTCGGCCTTCACCTGCTCCACATATTTCGGTGGCTCGAGGTTCTGAAAACGGATTTAGGTTAGTGAGTTAATTTGAAAAGTTCTGCAAAAAGAATTTCTTGACAGCCGGACTACTGTAGTCAAATCGATCATCCACATCTTCGATGGGAAACGTCAAACCAGGTATTTATGCGTAAAGGATCGAGCATTTAGTTTGTTCGATTTTAAATATCTAGCTAGCCGGATTAATAATGGATTTAATCACAGGATGACTCGAATTTGGCAAGTAGAAAAACAGTAGGAGAATCGTTAACGGCCCAAAAAAAATTATGGTCGCTGAAATGAATTTTTTCTCAGTCTGTATAAAAGTGCGGCCGAACTCCGGTACAGTGCAGATTCCCTAACACACTGCAAAATCTCCTAACAGTGAAGTTGCGCGTGGAAATTGTAGCCTATTGAAACCTAAAGATCAGAATACAGAAGGAGCACGCTCCCGCAGTACCTATTCCAAGCGTTTATTTTTTTCCATTTTTGCAAGCGATTTTAAGGTATTATGTATTGACAGCACTGCCCCACTGGACGAATACGAATTTGACGATTGAGTTACAATAAAAAGCTGTGCCCCTGACAGCTAAAATACGCTCATGTGTGACGAAATACTGCTGAGGAATTTCATATTAAAAAATAAGGTAAACACTTACCTTGCGGATCTGCTCGAGCTCCTCATTTTCCCTGCGGCCCCATTCTGGTGGCGGCCTGGCGGTTCCTCGGGCGATCGTCTTCGGCTTAGCGACAACAGGGTGCTCGAACAAATCATACTTGTCCTTGTACGTTCTCCGATCCGTCTGTCTGTCGAACTTCGAGGCGACCTATAGGGCAAAACTGTAAATACTGCCATAGACGATCCAGTGTATGATGGCGTGCATTTTGCCGAGGGCATTTCCCGGTGTGTACGTGACTTTTCCCACATACCTGCATCTTTGGCGGGTGGACCGAGTTGGCAGCCTCGTTGGGGTCGAGACCCATTTTGATGGCCTTCTGGCGGGCTACCTGAAATTGTCGAGTCACTACGGTATCCCTACAGTATCCGGATCCGTTATGTTTTTGGTAACATTGGTTCGGGAGGAGAATTCATCCATCCCGGTCGCGGGAGCGTGTCTTTCGACAAAAAAGGCAAGCGACGCGGATCTCTTTTTAAGAGATCTCGTTCCAAGGCCATCCACCGGGAGCGCAGGCTTTTCCCCGGGTAAACCATTTTCACCGAAATTCCCGTGACTCCGCTACATTTAAGGGACCAATCTAGTGCCGTGCAGAGTGTACTTTTGCAATAACTCCTCCCCCCCCCTTTTTTTTTGGGGCGGCACAAACTGGTATAATCCGGTTGTGTTTCCATTCCAGCAAAGTACGTGCGATCTGGGCGGGCAAAAAAAGTGGTCGGCTACGAATTGCACTAGAGGTCGGAGAGGCGGGAGGGGGAGTGAGTTGGAGGGCGAATAATTAGTTCGCTGTTATTTGCAGGGCTGCGCGACGTGCCGGACGACACGTATCTCGGATAATCAACTGGACTAAGGGGGGTTTCGGGTGTTGCCAGGATTTTGGCCATAGAATAGAGGGAGTTGAGAGAGTTCAATGCCCTGTAGAATCAAAGAAGGGGCCTAACAGGAAGTCGCTCTTAGATATTTTTAGAGTTGTGCAAGGCGACTGAGGTAAATTGATAAAGATGAAAATTCTGAAAAATCCCGTCTTTCAAAAACTGCTAAACGGACACGACCTTCAAGGAAATTTTTTTTGTAGGGGAACGTTTCTGCACATTTTTACCCGCGCTGAGCAGAAAACCTATCTCGAAAGCCCATAGCCTGGAGTGATTTTGAAAAGTTAGGATTTGTTCAGAATTTCAAGTTCTATAAAGTGAGCTATGCAAAGAAGCAAAATCCCAAAAACTTTATGGTAGAATTTGCATATGTCATCATGAATAAGTAAATCACGCACCTGACGCTGCCTCTCAGACAACTCCTTCAGGTCGTACTCCTGTCGCTCGTGCCTCTTCTCCAGATCGTACTTCTCGGCCTCGAGGCGGCAGATGCGCTTGTGAATCTGCTTGATCTTCTCCTTGAGGTCATTCGGCAAAAGGCCAGAAATGTCGATGTTCTTGCACACAGCGTCCAGATACGACTTCTTGGCGGCCTCGCGCTGTTCGGTCGACAGCTAAAAAATTTTATATGTTCAGATTAGTGCATCTAAATTTACCTCTTCCTTGCGCGAGCCACCAGCCAAGCTTGCGGGTCCACCACCCTCGGATTTGACCACTTCAAAGTTGCGGCCACCACCGACGTCAGTGCTGGCGGCATTGAAAGCTCCAGCCATCATCATCGAGCGGCGTTGCTTCTCCTCAAGCTTCGCGCGCTTCTGGGCCTCAATCTAAACCAAGCGTCAGAGTATTTCCTATTCCCAAGACTCCAAACCTTAGCCTTGCGCTCTTCTTCCTCCTTACGCTTGCGCTCCTCAGCGGTGCGACGGCGCTCTTCCCACTCGGCCTCCTCCTGAGCACGCTCAGCACGGCGGACCTCCTGCTTCTCCTTCAGCTCACGGAGTTCCTGCTCCATGTGAGCCTTTTCGACCTAGAAAACGAATTGGGCTCCAGTTTTTCTTAGGGGAATCCACCTTACGGCGCTCTTCATAATCGAGCAGCTTGGCGGCCTCTTCTTCCTCGTGGCGCTTCTTGGCAGCGAGCATGGCCTTCTCAGCCTCGGTCATCTCCGTCGGTTCGGGAGTCTTCTGATGGACTTGAGGCTTTTTCGGGCTTGGTGGCCTAAGGTTTGAATGCAGTGCTTGGAAAGGGGGGTTTTACGGCTCATCAGCAGCTGGGGCTTCTTCACCGGCATCTTCCTCTTCCTCTTCTTCTTCGGCTTCAGCGGGGGCGGCTTCCTCGGTCCTGGAAAACAAAGTATGGCGATAAAATTAAATAAAAAAATTGCTAGACTAAAAATAAAAAAAGATATTCCGTACTTGGTGTCGGCGACAACCTCCTCCTCCTCTTCCTCCTCGATCTCCTCCTCAGAGCTAGAAAGGACGGATTAATGAATTATATAGTAGCTGTTTTTATATTTCAAATTCTTGGGCTAGAAAGTCCTGTTAGAAAGTAAGGAAAAGAAAAAGAGCAAGAAAACTCACTATTCCTCCTCCTCAGACATGATTGTGGACCCTATAAATAAAATTAAAAATATTAAACAAACAGATTCCTTGAAAAATCAGAAAACCGGTATGTTTTAGATACTATTTCAATATCAAATTAATGTGCGTAAACACCAGGTGAAGATATCAAAGTGTAACCCGATCCGCCGGAAAGCAAGTCGACAAGGGGCGGCCGCCGGTTTTTGCGATATGCCATGTATCAGCCAACTTTTTAGGGCCCAACCCGATCGACTGGTCCTCTAAGAGGGGGCCAGATCCGCCCCAGTGGGCCCTAAGGCGCCCCCACACAATCAGCCAAACGGTCCTTCTCGTTCTCCACCTCCTCTTATCCTCTGTTTTGGGCTCGAGTTTACACTCTGATGGTTGCCACCGGTTTTTCTGGGCTTGGGGCAGTGGGGAGGCTCCCAATTGGATCCATTGCCCGCAACCTGGCGTTGGCTCCAAATTTCTTGGGGTCGAGAAATGGATCAACAACAACTGCCCTCAACCACCCGAAAGGCGTTGAGCAATAGCCCAAGGGGGGCCTAAGTGCCCTGAAGCTTCGTAAGGGCCAGTTGTTTTTTTGGGGGTGGGGCGAGGGGGTTGGAAACGGTGATCACTAAGGGGATGGTTGTTGGCTGGGGATCAATCATCTTGACTTGGGGTGATTGGGAAGCATGCTTCGCTTGATGTTGGCTCGATTTTCCGATGGCAACAAAACTGAGGGGGACAAGCCATGTGACAATGGGGTGAAACGGGAAAAAACCAGGTTTTAAAAACCGAAAAAAGCTGGCTATTAATACCAAACTATGAATTTTTGACAGGAGCAGGAGCTCAAAAACAAAAAAAGACGTTTTTAATTTTAATATGCATGCAGAGTCCCTTCAATTTGAAAGTGATCTTCAGAATTTTTCAGATAATTATTCCGTGTTCTATTTTTCAAATAATATTATTATTTTTAGTTTCGTGGGCCTGAGCTATACCTTTAAGCGATTAAACGATTCATCGTATACTTGTGTACTAAAAGCCCTCAACCGATCAAAACTTGATTAAAACAGTGGCTGCTGGGATATACGCAAAAATTTTCAATGATGTTGAGTATTGGCTCAATTTCTAATTTTAAAAAAGTTAAAAATTTGGCTTTATTTTTCCAAACATTAAACTATGTATTTTCGTCACAGTTTTCAAATTAAACTATTATTTGTAGTTTTTTTTTGTAACATGATTGATACCTAGAAACCATCAAAACATTTATTAACACCAATAATATCTGCAGCAGCTGCACGTCGCACAAAATTGAACCGTACACAAACGATATGAGTAGGTATTGAGAATTCACACAAAGAGAGACAGCTATAATTTGGCTTTCCATCGCGGGGGAACTGATCAAGTGAAAGACGAGCAATTTGACGACCGGGCTTCGGACAGTTGGGGAGGGATATTTACAGGTGGTGGTGGTTTTGTATTAGGTTTTTGTGTCGTTGGAATGTCATGTCTTGGTCGATGAATTGAGGCACTTTGTGAGAGGGGGAGGGTCATTTGGATTGGAGTTGGAAGGAATGGCAGGAATTATGCCAATTTTAGGGAATTTAATGTGGTGATGGCTAGGCGTTTTTCTTCGACTGTTGCGGAGGGATAGGCGAGGCCACGTTGATCGAATGCGGCTAGCCAGGCGGATTTTGTCTGAATTTGATTCAGGATCATTAGGTAACGATATTAAATACATTAATCACTAAACCAAAACAGGAAAATTTTCTATTTTATCTTTTCTATCTCTATTTTCTTTACGAGCTTCATCAAAATTAAAATCTACCTTTTTGTCAGCACAAGTAAACAAATATTGCCTCCCAGCTCCGGATACTTTAAACGCGTTCTTCACATTCACATTGAAAGTCGGTTCTAAACATTACTATTATTTAATTTCGATAATTTTTAGTACCTTTCCCATCCTTCACATCCAAAACGTGCGTATTCTGGAGTGACATCCGCTCCTTGAAGATGTAGAAATTTTTCTTTATCAAATCCTTTTTGCAAATGACGATCGACTGGTCGAAGAGGAAGAGTAGAACGTCCTAAAATGGATCTAAAGGGCTATCACTAAGTCTATACCTTTGACCACTGATTGGAGTTGGAGGTGACGCTTCGGCAAAACACTTCCCCTGATCGCAACATGGCGCTGTTGTTTTCCAACAAGTCGGGTCCCTAAAATAATGCATGAATGTGAAGCTAACGGTTTCTAACATCAAGGATTTTATCCAAAAGCGTGGAACGCATTTGGCGTCTTCGCTTTTTAGCCAGTTCTCGGTGCTCACGGATAATTTCGGCCATGTAGAAAAGCATTTTTGGGGGTTGCGCTAAAATGGGGGCTACTGAACGGCGAAAAACAAGAAAGGAAATGGAATAAGGTGATCAGAAAATGTAAAAATTATTTAAAGAGCCATAAGATCTAGAAGGGCCCTTAGGTGTACCTCGTACTATGCCGTGCCTAATTCTGACCCGCACACTCCTGGGGTCTCTCCATCTTTATAGGTAAACTCGAACCCAAAAAGATGGGATCAGACACCCGTTTTGCTGAGGGTCTGTACTCGAGCGTCCCCTATTGCCTACCAGTCATAAGCACTCAACGGGAGGCCAAAAATACGGTCAGAAATTGCGCACAAGTATCTTTCTTCGAACGTAGGGGGGGAGATCATCGAAACTTAAGCTTGGAAATGGGAGAAGGGGAGCAAGAGAAAGGTCGGATGATCCTAATAATGGATACAAAAACGGACTTTGGTTAGGCTAGCCCGTACTGTTTGTTCGGGATCGTTGGTCGGCTATTGGGAAGGAAGGCATGACAGATTTTTGGAGGGTGGGGGTGAGGTGAAATGGATAAGGTTTTGGAGGTAATGAGGGGTTTGCAAAATACTAAAAACTGGAAAAAACTATCGAGCGGTTAGATGTACAATATTTATAAGAAAAAATTAATGTGAACTCGGTGAAATAATATCAAAGTTAGAAAACCCTGAAAGAATGGAGAGACTTAAATAACATTTAGAACACCTAAGAAAAATCCAACTGACCCAGCGACAGCTTTAGGTTATCGAAAACAAGTCAGGCTGGTCTATGAGTTCTAGCCGAAGTGTTGAAATGAGAATCCTGGGGAAACCCCCACCCGCCCCACTCGCCCCGCAACTGTGAACAAACCTATGCCCTAGGCGCTCAAGTTACTTGTGATCAGAGTTCTAGTGTCAATCAAATCAAGCACTTTTGTGTCTGGCTAAAACACCTGTTTTTCAGGGAATTCAACCGGACCACGGGGGACTATGGGAAAGATATTGTGAGGGCAAGAGCATATGATCAATCAGGGTTGTCAGCAAGACTACCGGGAACAAGGTAGTTAAGGGGAGAAAAAGTGACAAGGTTTGCAGAGATCCTAAGACTAATGGAATTCTAAGGATGTTTGTGGCGGGAAACAGTGATTAGTCTAAAATTAACATCTCGAAAAACCAAATTCGAAAATTTCAATATCCGAAAGAAAATTACTTCAGGAATCAAAGCCCCCATGTCAGTTTTTTGACGTTTCGTGATTTTCGTTTTAAATATGAGTACCGAGAACTGGCTGAATTTTAAATTATTAAACCTTTGATTATCCGTTACTTACCCTCCATCCATGAACATTTTTCTGCCAAATGGCGATGTCTTGAAGGGCTTCTATCCGCCTCTTCCGGTCGTTTATTTGGGCGGCAACAGCCCTCATCGCCCTCTCGGCAGCTTCCAGGGCAGAATGGTCTTCGTGGCTTTCCGGGGTTGCCTGAGAGATCGTTTTGACCATATGTTACAGATTTAAGATTGTTAGATACCCTTAAAACGCAAAAAATTAATGTTAATGAATTTTCCAAAACCCATACCTTCAATAATTCAGATAGCTGCAACGAATAACGGCAAATCTTCTGAACTGGGCTCAACAAAAAGCTTTCCAGCGCAAGGTTCGGCATCCCTCTCAACAATCGACATGCCTAAGTATTTATAATACAAAAACTAATCACGCTCTTACTTGAAAGAACTGATGATAAATTGGCTGCCGATCCAAGGCTGCCAACTCAGCACAAGATACCGGTCGATTATTACAATAATCCGAATAGATCGAGAAGGATTGTTTCTAAAAATAACTCCGCTTTTGAAAAACAACAAAACACTTACGTTGCGGAGAAAGGCTGACCCCAGGCAAGTGTTCTCTGGGTTCATCGGGTCGAGAGCAATTTCCAGATCTCTCAATAGCTTCGAGTGCAGAAGATAAATAGATTGAATATTGCCGAAAATATTCCGCACTCGCTGGGGTGAGAAGAGCTCGGATCGACGGCGAGTTTGTTCGAGGAAGCCCTGAAAGAGAAAAACAGATCAAAAATCGAGAGGTGGGGGCACCTGAACGATATTTTCGAGGAGTCGAACATAATCTCGCTCGGTGTTCATCAATTCTTCGACGACATTGGCTCGCTGGGTTCTCATTGCTTGTGGGAATGAGTCGGTGGATAGGGATGTGGATGATGGACGGGATGAAGCGCCGGAGACGACCTGAACTTGTTAATAGTTGATGAGTGACTTGGACTATTGTCGAAGCGAGCGGATCTTTTTAAAGGCAAAAATATTGTAAGAAAAATTCAAAACTTACTCTGACATGGCTGGCCGGGAACCATCCTTGGCTGTCGCGACAACTACCGTACCATAAGCCGGTTTGGGAGCTGGCGTCAAGTACTGTAAAAAATATATTGAATTAAAAGTCTGGTCAAATTAAAATTAAGTTTCATAATTTGGATTTTGCACTACTTTAATGGCTATGTGTAAAATGTGCATTAATCAAATTGTTCAGTACATAATTCAATGAAATTCCGGCTTATTCTGTTACATAGCAAAATTTTTTTATCTATCAAATTGTTTTGCGTCTCAAGATTCATTTGGGAATCATTTTTTAATATATTTTAATTTCTGATTCAATGGTTAATTTCTTAAATGCCAGCTAATTAGGATTAGTGGCATAGATCAATGAAAAATTCAATGAAATAATGATAATTTGTTTTCTCGATTAAATATCTGATATTTACAGACCGGTGTTTTTATATTTTCGTAGAGTATTCCTTAACATACCTGATATCACATCCCCCGCAGCAAATGGCAGCTCATCCGGTAACAAGGCGACATGATCATATGACGCCTCAGCAATCATAGCCTGTAACGACAGTTCCAATTCAGTGGCCAATTCGCTAGTCAATTCTGGAGTCATCCGGAATATCGATAGGGTTGTCATTTAGCGGTTCGAACTGCGGTTTGCCTTTGAGAATGTCCATCTCCTGCAAAGGGACCCCCCCCCTAGCCTTGAGAGCCCCGGACAAACAGCCCCGGCCAAGGGCCAATGGGTCGTCGTTTTTTTTGTGGAGGAACCGAAGAGGCATTTACGTCGTTATCTCTCACGTTTATCTTCCCCCCAAGTACTTGTATCAGTGAAACAGGGGAGGTGCACACGTTTGTAGAGTGGTTGGGATACGTAGTAAAGGTTGAACTAAGAAAAATGGGCAGTGGAGCTGAGTCTTTTAAAAATTACGGCTGATGCGCTATGTTTGAGGTATTGGAAAGCAATATAATTTAGGCTTCTATTGGGCTTATGACTTTAAGATATAAGTTAAATAAGCATTGTTCACTATTGTTTTTGAAAAAAACAATTCCCCTTATCACCGCCGCATCGTCGGGATCAAAAGGCCGGGCTATTACTAACTATACCGCGCCCTAGCTGACTAATCAGTAGCTATTTGGCAGAGGCCAGTAGAGTAATGCCTTAAATTAATTTTTTTCTTTTGTTTTTTACTACATGAACCTGAATTATTTTGCCGCTTCGCTTCAGTTTCCGGTTCTTCTTGAAATTCCAGATCTTTGAACCCAAAAAATCAAAATGTATCCCGTTGCTTTTGATTTTGCGTGAAAAAGAGCGCTTCGGATAACATTTAAATGCAAAAATTTAGAGATTTGAATAAGAAACTGAATCAAATTTTTCGATATGAGTGGTGGACCTTATGGAATAGGTCCAGCGTTAATTTAGCTATACATAACGGTAAATTTTTCTTCGAAAACACCGGTAAATCCACAATTTGGCCCAATGACAACCCACCATAACGTAATAATAACGTAATAATGCTCACCGACGAGTCGGAAACATCAGTGCTGCCATTGCTCCGCGATCCACTCGAAGAAGTGCTTTGAAGCGAACATCTGCACCCTCTAGGCCATCCCTCAGCTGGGCCATCGCCGCGTGAAATGTGCTGGACGCTTTCTAAAAAGCGCTATGCGTAAGGGATTGCGTGCATTCCTCCTGGGTCTGCCCTCCCCAGCTGACATATACACATTCGCGACATACACAACATACACACTTACCGTAATCTTCATCAGAATCGGTAGGGGATGGGGCCATCGGTTGGCTCTTGGAACGTTTTTGCGATCGGACGGGTCTATCGCGTTGGCGGATCAATTCCTGGAAAAGTTCGGGTTGATGGGCGTGGGTAGTGGTTTCAATTTATCTTTTGACAAGTAGGGGATTAAGCGAAGTGATAAGCTCGGTGTCAAATCCAGATCTCAAAAACGTTTTTTTTGCTGATGTTTCTTCTCTTTGGAGCGGTAGTAGATAAAATGATTTCGTAAATAAAGTCTGGGTCGAAAGAAAAGTTGGTAGGTTCAAATTTAGATATAACAAAGTTTTTATGATGTTTCCATGGCGCTCCACCCCAATGGCCAGGTGCTGTCGGGGATGGGGGGGGCACAGAATTTTCTTAGGGGGTAGCTCTTACCGGCACATAAATGCTCTCATCGGCCTTGCTTCTTGCGTAAAAACGGGGCAGCTTCATCGAGTGGCGTCCGCGGTCGGGGAGAGAATCCGGATTCTGAAATGAGTGTCATTTGTCAGGGAGTAGTTTTCAAGAGCTTTTGATGCGCCGACGATCTGATAGAAACTCTTAAGCCCCCAGAAAATCTCGATTTTTCCGGCGTATACGTTGCATCTTACGATTCGTATGACCAGCGCCATTGGTCAGTATATCGAGTCAGGGGCACAAATATTTGATGTCGTGTAGGTTTCGCCAGAGGGTGCGGGGGGAGCAAGAACAAAGCGGTGGCCGGCTGGGAGGGAAGTGTGTGGATGTATGTTCGAGGCAACGGGCCCGATACGGTTGTCCATTCATGGACCTGGCGGGTGTGTTCGTCTTTAGGTGTGCCGTGTTCGTTTTTGGAAGAGCATCCCGGAAGCAGATGGTAAGATGCGAAGGAGAAGCTCCAATTTGAAGCTACCTGACTTGCGCTAATATAGGTGCCTTCTGGGTAAACCTTGTCGAAACTGTATTTTTAATGTAAAAATATGAATAAAAATTGCGTATATGCGTTGTCTTAGGATTACTAAGGCGGCTTTTTGGTCAGCTTATTGTGGTAAAAAGCGTTGAATGTTATTAAAATCTGACTAGTTTCCTTCCATTTTTGGCATTTTGGTGGGTGGAAAAAATATATAAACTTTTTATCATAATACTAATAAAATCTGCCAAACTCAAAAATAAAATCCCTGAGCCTACGCGAGAAAAAAAATACGGTAGCTTTTTATCTATGAAGGGTTATCTATACAGAAAGTTATTAAGTTACACCCATGCTGCGCCATCAGCCGCTCCCCGTTTAGACCTAATTTCCCCTTGTATATTAATCCAACCCACCAGCTGGCCCCCTTTCCATAACGGCTTATGATTTTCCTTTCGGAAACGTCCACCCATGCCGCAATTATGCGCTCACTCTCCATGTCCCCCCCCCCCCCCCCTTTCCATCCAACCCAGAGAACATGCATCCGGGGGGAGTAGTCGAAGGAGGTGACAATTCAGTCGAAGGAGCCACAGGACAATACACCCCCGCCACGAAGGGCCGCGGGGCGATGCGCGACGAGGGCTAATCCGAAGCGCTTCCAAGACCTTCCTAACACATGCTCTTCACCCCCGGGGAGGACACCTCAACTCGCCCCCCCCCCCTCCTCCGCTTCTTTCCATCCATCTTCAGCAAGCGACAAGCCGATTCTGGCGTCTTGTTGCTTCCACAAACACGCGCATTGGTTAAGCCGTCGGCTCTTTGGAGTTGGCAGAAAATGGGAGCATGGAAATTTTGGGGTAAGGATTCACCAATCCTTTAGAGTATATGAAAACTATCGTGTATCGTCTAATTCCTAGTCCCTTAGTTAATTTTAGTAATTTAAGGTGGCCAAAATTCCAAGACCTCGGGATCCAAAGGTTTTGAGACCACATATTCGCCCTCCTTCGAATAAAACCTACCCTTATTGAAAAATGCAAGCTTTGGGCTTATGTTAAACTTAGAGCTAAATGCGATTCCCGTCAATAAAAAAATTAAAAGTTCCAAACCATGCTAGTCCGAAAAAAAACCCAGTGCCCTTGTTGACTACTGACCACCAGCGAGGGATCGCTTTCCCAAAATGCTTTTACGCCAAAGTCCTTGAAATTCCATTGGAAAAAATTGAGCGCCTTCTCCTTGCTCCCCGCCGTTAGTCGACCCCGCTCGTCCCTCAGCTGGCCCAAATAGCCCGACGACTCCCTCAATTCAACAAATTCCTCGAAAAAGTGAAATCCGGTCCTAAGCTTTTTTGCGGGAGATGACCCCTGAAGGGGGGGAAGTGACCGACAGCCGAAGGGGAATCGGTTCCGATCCGAACAAGCTTGGGGAATCGCCCAATGGAAGGTGAATCTGAAATGACACCTAACCGGTTGCCCCCGCCGTGCAGTCATGCCTATTCCCACAATAATCGGCTCAGCAAAAGCTCCCGAGGGGCTTGTGGCAAAAAAGAGAGTATTCCTCTCGCAGGCGGGTGGAGAAAAGTATTATTTATTGCTTTCAGCAGGTGGCAGCACCTGGGCCGGATTTTAGGCACGTTTTCACCTAGGAGGGGAGGGGGGGAGATGAACTTCTGGGCAAAACGCTCGAGGGGAGGGAGGGAGGGTTGGGTTGGAGAGTAGTGTATGGAAGGGGAATTATGCAAAAGGGGGCAGCGGGGTGCCTACTCGGTGCTAGGGGAAATAATATAGTATGAATTTCGCTTATGGCAGCCGACTGGTTTATGATGCGTGTGGAAGGCCATAAATTTTATAGTCACATTTGCGAGGTTGAGAAATGGAGATGCGATTTGCAGTAGTGGACAGCATGATTGGAGAATTCAGAATGGCGGGGTATCCCCATAAAGCATCCCCCTTCTACCCGTTCAAACATCATAGCGAACAAAAGTATCGAGTTCAAGGGCAATAGGGTCATTCCGAACGAGTCCCCAAAAACTTTTTGTATTTAATTGATTTGCAGAGAATCATGGGGGAGGCGAGAGGTGCTAGGGGCACACCCTTGACATATTCAGCAAGTGAGAACCTCTGAATGTGCCGAATGACGAGAAGGTGGGGGTAAATATTGGCGTTCACGCCCGGTATATCTAGTTCAAAAGTCCGGATACTTAGAAGTTCACTTTACCGAAACCCGAGATACCGAAAGTTCAACAACGAAATCTTTTTAATTTTCTTATTGACCACGCTAAAACAACACACACTCATTCCCCCTAATTACTTTTTCTCCAGCACATTCCACCCGCAAAAATCTCCTCAATCTGGCTGGCTGGAAAAATTCCAAGCCTTAAAGGCAATGGAATGGGTTTATCGCGCTCGGCGATCGCACCCCCCGGGAAAACGTTTCACGCCCTGCGGGCAAATTTGTGGCGCAAAAGGCTGATTCAAAAATGCCCCTACCTCTTCGATTACCAAATATCGACGCAGCCCACCACCATTCGTGGAAATAGACGGAGAAAATGAGGCTCCACGTGTGAGTTGGGGCTTAGCATAGATAATCGGGGAAGACGGGGTCATCTGGGTCGGGTCAAGCAGATTCGGATTGAATTCAGAGCCGCTGTAGGTAATTGGGAGAAGGAGGTCTCCGGCTGGAGACCTCCTGACTAGGCAATACATTTGATAAAATATAGATGATGGTGAGAAGGTGGATGGGATGGTAGGGACTAGATAGAGGACGTTCTGGACAGCAGCAGGGTCCGGGCGGCCACCACGACCGCCTAGTCAATGGGGCGGGGCGAGGGGGTGGCGGGATGGCTCAAGCTCCCCGCCACATACATATACACCCTGTTGCTCGGACACCATTTATAGGTCAGAGCGGGTTGGGAAAGGTAGTTGTAAAGGGGATGATTATGATGAGCAGATCCATTAAAAGTCGCGGAGAAGTAGTAGGAAAGCTGTGGCTCAATAGAGTTCGAAAAACCTGAAGGTTGTTTCTTTCCACTTCGCTACACACTTAATTAATCGAACGCTTATGATTAGATATAACAAGGACTAAGTTTCTGAATTTGGATTTATTAATAACTTTTTTGAAACCTTCCAGCATTTTCGAGAGGTTTGACTTTTTCTCTATAGGTGTTTTCACCCTCATCCCAGCCCACTTATCCCCCATGATCTGCATCAATCCCCCCCCCCCGGATTCAAGAATGCAGATTGGGTTAACACGGATCATATGATTCCCATGGCCTACTTGCTCCTGAATCATTCAACCAATCCTCATCTTATAGACAGAGGGTCGAGAGGGAGCTCCCGGCAAAAAGTGCCACTTCAAAACAAGAGCAAAACGCGACGCGGGCGGATAAACGATGTGAAAGCGGCACTCAGCAGCGGGGAGGTATGAGGATTGCCCCCAAGGAATGGTCTTGTTCCCGGATCTTGGAGGTACTGTGAATAACCGTAAATTTCGCCATAGGACTGTTTTTTAGACAATCTCATAGTTGAAAGCACCAAATTTTAAATAGGTATTGAAAGGGTTAGATCATAAAACAACATACTAGCCAAAATTGTGCATTAAAGAACGTCTACAAAGCCCTTGTGGGATACAGCCCCGAGGTATTAAACAATGGATCTATAGTGTGATCGCGAGTCAGGCTATTATTTAGCAGCGTCAGTTTGACGATTCTATTTGACGTCTGATGCTTCATCTTAAAGGTACGGTAAATATCGTCAATTTCGACATGAGATTATTCTATATAGAGATCATAGTTAACATAATCTACGTATTAAATATACTTTCCTAAAAGTTTTAAAATGATATATACCTAAATGGCCAAAAAAGCATTAATGATAGCCTAAAAACTCCTTAAAACAGTGCATTAGAGATTCATGGTAATTCAATGGATTAATAGTGCCATAGTGAGTTAGGAATTCACATACATACGGGTGAAAGTTCATAATTTTCAAGGACTCACAAGAAACACAAATTCCCAAAAACCAAAAGTGCAAAACCCACACACCAACCTGTGATAGAATCTGCCGTATACTGTAGACACGCTCGTTCTCCGGCCCGCGAAAGAAGAAGCTGCGACTCATCTGCAAACACGGCGTTTCGGAAATCTGCTGCCACGCTCCCTCTCCACAAGCCCCCCACATACATAGTATACCTCGCCCGGAGGTCACCACCAATTATCTCACGCCCAAAAAGCTCATTGTTAGGGCGGCTGTGTGGCCGGCAAAAGGCTAAAAGGAGTTGTGGGGGGTGGTGAAGGCGGTGCATATTTGTCGCGTGGGGTGGGGCGCAGACTACGAGTTGCTGCTATGTGCGAAGAGTTTCTTTCGAGTTTTTGTTAAAGAATGGAAGTGGGGCCTAGTGGAGTGGGTTTTTCAGGGTTTAGAAACGTGAAGAGCTGAATAAAACATTAAGTAATGCGGGGAAGCTGTTTTTGCTAAAAAAATTCTAACTGTAAGCCAAAAATATTAATGGAAAACGGCTGTAATTAGGATGCGTGATAAAAAATAGTTTATCTTTAAAAGCTTGTAATTTTTCTTAGCCATTGAATGCGACACCTAGTAGAGTATTTTGTCTAGGTTTAGAAAAACATTGCAAAGAGTATTAAGCATCAGATTTTTGGGAAAAATTCAGACATCAAGCCAAATACTTCTATTAATGCGTGAAAACTAGCACAATTATTTCAAACAAATCTTAGAAACACCTTAACGTTTACTTACGCTATTGCCTTCCTCCTTAAAAAGACTAATCCCCTCGTGCACCCGGAAAAAGACCAAAGCATCAAAATAAACTAAGCAATAATCCCCCTAGAAAAACGATTGTACCGCATTGTATCTCATTGTGTACATGGCAGCAGCTGTTTCGAAAATGCTAGAAAATACTCAAGACAAAAAATATCAGAATAATTAGCGGTCAGCCCACGGTGAGGGGCGGAAGAATGAGCAGCTTTTTGTTGGCGCGAGGGGATGGCGCGGCCGAAATGGTCGTAAGGCGCTTTCCGCGTGTGTCCTCCTCCCGCGAATGGACACTGCGGGAAAACACGCGGACCGACAGAAGAAGGTTTGTCTATCTGTCTGTCTAGGCGCACAAGGTGGACACGAGTCATCCAAAACCCCCCCTGCGGGGTTTGTGGCCACCAGGCCTTCCGGTTGCCTTCAATGGGTGCGGGCACCAGTCTTTTCGGTTGTGGCCCTCCACCTACTAGCACCAAATCATGGGTCTATAGATTTCGGGGCTCAATTATGGGCGCTTGAAAAATTAGGGAACTTGGAAAGGCAGTTTGGCCATCAAATGCGATGAAATTTATAAAACATAAATCTTTAATAATATAAATAATTTTCGAAAATCTGCTAGAACTATTCTTATACATCTGTCTAATGTGTGCCACAGTCTATTTTGATGCCTTAAAACCTGAAAAAAGTTTAAACTAAATCAATAGCGTGAATTTCATTTTAGAAATTAAATTTGGAAAGAATTAAAAATGCTCTCAAGTATTTTAGAAAATTAATTGGAAATTGAATTTAACACAGTTCCGGGCTTCTGAACGCCAAAATCACCCCAAAACTACCCGAGCTACGATACGAATGCCGTTCCCCCCAAGACAAATCTTCCCCTCGGCGTAAAGTGTTCAATTTCCATATCCAAAATCGATGACGATCCCCCTCCTCACCTCGTCGCTATCCTCGTCGACACAACTGCTTCGACTCGGGATGATATTTCCGGTGATCGATCCGGAGTCGCTGCTTGAGTGGTTGTTGTTGATGGAATAATGATGTTGTTTCGCTGTTTCCGGGTCGAATTCCTGAAAAGAGACACTGTAAAAATGTCGCAACTTCAGAATTCAACAGAAAACCCGTCTATACTTTACTGTACCTCCAAGCAAAAGTCAACAAAGTTTTCGACATTTCCGCTACTTTGTCGGGATTTTCGCTACGCCATTCGATAGCGCATCAAAAAATATGTTAATGATTTTAATTGCAGCCCAAAATACTGTAATATATAAGGCGTTATAGCGGCTGGGGGGGAGGTAAAAGACAGTCGTTACCGGAAACCAAGGCTTTATTAAAACCGTAAAGCCGCCCTCTGACCAACTGTAGCAAATGAGAAGCCCCGCGCAGGGACCGGCGACTTATTAGAACAGTAGGCCACTCATCACAGCACATCCACTTGCCCCGGGTCGAGTGGCCAACTGGGGGTGGACCCCGCAAGCTACTCGAGTGATAAGTGAACAAATAATCCCCTCACTACCACCAACCAACGAACCCCTGCTCCTCGTCCCGCTAAATAGCTATCCCTTTTGTGCCAAGATGTTCAAAGGATTTCAAGGCGGGGAAAAGATCAAAGGAGAAGCGGTGCACTAGGTGCTGCAGATCAGCTAGGGGTGAGTGGCCCTCAAGGTGAGCAGCCGAAAAATGCAAGTCACTGCCGGGATTCCGTGTTCGGGTGATGTAAGTATAGTTTCGGAATGATCTTTGTGATTTGGGGCCTAGGGTCAGCTGTATAGTATATTTTAATTCATCAAGTATTTCGGGGAGCATCAAACCACAAAAATCCCGAAATTTTAGCCGGCTTTGAAGATTATTAATCGACGTTCACCAAGTCGATCATTGAAACACTCTAAACTGCTCAAAGAGACGCACGCAGAATGCCGTGACAAAAAGAATAAAAAATTATTCTGCTTTTCAAATTTTAAATGCAATTTTTGCAAATTTTTTACAGCGAGATAGCTAGATTAGAAAGGAGGCATATTAAAGAAGGCTTACCTTGCGCAAAAATACGCTATATTCATGCACCAAAAATCCATTACCTCTTGAATACTGTTGTTCAGCGCCTCAATCAGCGACAGACGTCGACGTGGGAAGTATGGATTCTGAAAAAAATATGTTAGAAAGTGGATTAGGTGATAAGAGGTAAAGTCAAACCCGTAAGGCCAATCCGTCAATATCCGAATTAGGCAGTGAGCCGTTAGGGGGAACGGGGTGGAAAGAAAATTGGGCTGTTGGTATATGTGGGGGTTGTCGGATGCACCTGGCCCAGCACAAATACGACCTGCGCCTGGCCAGCTCTCGGGGCTTGTGGTCGACATTCGAACCTCGCCAATGAATCAGGGCCACGCGCACACTATTGCCAGCTAGCGGCTTGGGGTGCGGTAAGGAGTCGATCGTATAGTTGGGTAATTAGGTAAAATGACTAGTGAAAAACTATAAATCTTGCTTATGCCTTCAAAAATGGTACATTAATTTTTCAGAGGCAATTTGGTAGAAGGCTGGTGAACTTAGACGACTTATCCGAAAAACCATCATTATTTTTCAAATATTTGTGCTCGAGTCGCTTCTATAACATTGACTATTGTGCGCCGAAATTAGGCTCAAAGCGTTCCTAGAGCTTCAAAAAATAGCACTCTACAGCACGCATTAACATTTATATACCCTACGCCTGAAAAAGCTACGCTTCCAGTTAAATAATTACCCTCTTAAAACCGCGACTAATAATAGCCACCCCAAGCCCCGATTCCATGCTTGCGTGCGCTTGTTTTCAACCGGAAACCTGGCCCGCCTTGGTGTGCAACCCCGTAAGAAGCCCGTAGAAAGCATGGCCAAACATTGTCGCTGAACGCACCCCACCAATAGGAACGACGAAAAATTACAGAAACCAAGAATTTTCGAAAACC